GAGAGAGAGAGAGAGAGAGAGAGAGAGAGAGAGAGAGAGAGAGAGAGAGAGCACAGTTACTGTGTATGCTGTTGCTCTTTGAATTTCTGCACATGCACTGGGTGGGGTGTGAAGAGAGGGAGCTGGTATGGAATGGATGTGCTTGTTGAACTTTTCCGTGTTTTGTTTGTCTGACAAGATTCATGTGCGATCAGAATTTTTGTGTGTTGTGATGTTCACAGGCTATTAGGTCATTCCGAAGGGCCAGTCACAAATTCTCTGCTCAGGACAGTTGGAGAAGAGTGCATGGCTCACCTACGCTAGAGAAAAAGGTCTGTTGGATTGTTTGTCAGCAGATTCTGCTCTTGTACAATTCAGGGCTCTTGGGGCCGCGGGGGAGGGGGGGGAGGGGGGGGGGGGGGGGGGGGGGGGGGGGGGGGGGGGGGGGGGGGGGGGGGGGGGGGGGGGAGGAAGGGTGTTGGGGGGGGGTTGGGGGGTGGTCTTACAGTCAGTGCTGTTTTAAGGACGGATGGTGATGCGGGGTGTGTGTGGTCTGGACTGAGATTGCTTGTAATTCCTGACATTTGTCATTTATCTGCGTGTTTTACGTTTGGCAGATGCTGGAAAGTCAACGATTGGTGGACAAATCCTGTGAGTACTGTGATCTTTTTCCTTGTACACTCACAGGTAGGGAAGGGGGGTGGATGTAGGCCCATGCACCATTAGTTGTATTTGGAATGGGTTGGAGATTGGTATGGTATGCCTGCCCCCCCCTCCCCCTCTGAAATCCACTTTCCCAATGGTGTGGACAATTTGATGACCCTCCATTGCCCTGGGACTCACTGTTAACGATTACAGGTACTGAAAGTTTTTTTTTTTTTTTTTTTTTTAACAATACCACACAGCCCCTTCTAGTCTGGGGGGCAGCGGTCCGATTGCTCATCACCGGCAAGCATGTTTACAAGTAACGAGGGGGAAAAGACGAGAAAAGAGAAGGGACAGCCGTAACCCTTGTAGCACGAGCCGCCCAAGTTAGGGGAGGCTGCTACGGAGCGCCCAATCCCCAACCCATGACCCAGCCTCAGAGATTGCCTTGCAGGTCCCACGGACCTCTCGGCAGGGAGTAATGGCTGGTGTGGCCACACGGGCCTCCCGAGCAAGACCTCGACAAAGACCTGATAGGGCTGCTTCGGAGCCTGTAGGCCCCAGATGAATCTTCACGACTGGGGAAGGCAGAGACTACCAGTCAAACAGGACCCATTCTTAGTAAAAAGTCAGGCCATGGCAATTAGCGCATCCATTCCGACGCTGGTTGTGGACAGGCTGCAAGAGTGTTTAGTCAATACATGCCATTGCCGGAAGGACTTAGCACCGTGTGGTCAGCTATTGCCAGAGCTTTATGGTGTCACGGAAGAAGGGCACTGAGGAAGGAGATCTGCACTGAGGTGGAAGAAGGTGGCAGTAGAAGGGGAGATCCTTTTTGGTGGAGGGTGGCCGACGGGCGGGAGTAGAACGTCGTACTTTTCCATGTCTCGACTCTCAAGGTCATTAGTCTGTAGTCAAATCTGAAACCCTGCCACGACTTAAGCTGATGCTCCCAAGAGTAGGTACCTGCAGTGCGGCAAAATGGTACACACTTAAAATTACTAACAAGTAATAGTTGATGGATTGTTGGTTCACAGAAGAGATCAAGGCTTCAAGTCCAGGGAGTATTCTTTTGGTGCAAGTGATTACTTGTGTGAGTGTGATATTCGAGACTCTTCTGGAAATTCAGAACTTCGTTCTTTGGGGGTAACCTATTTTAAACGGTTTCTGTTTTAGAAAAGTCTCTGTTACTGTCATGGAATTTGAACGCAACTTGGAGGTATTCCATTTGAAATTTGAATACAATATCTTCCTACCTGTTTAACTGAGAGGTATTGTGTTCATGAGAACATGGAAGTCTCTGCTGAATGGATGTGTTAAAAATTCCTAGGTGTTACATGTTTATAGTATGATGTACATCCTTCGTTTGCGTCCTGGCAAATATGATTCTTTGCAAGAAGGATGTGCCATTAATAGTAATTTAATACTCGTGCATGGAATATTTGTCTGTCATCTTTTTTTGCAGTACCCTGACAGAGCTTTATGTAACTGCAGGTATTTGACAGGGGCGGTGGACGACAGGACAATTCAAAAGTATGAGAGAGAAGCGAAGGAAAAGAGTCGTGAGAGTTGGTAAGTCCCACGGGAAGGCTAACCAGTAGTCGGTTAAATGATGCTTGTATCAGTTGTATGTCAAGTCTTGTTTGGGTGATTGATTAGTTAAGCCTGGGATACTGAGCAGGGAAAGCAGGTTGTTTTTGTCAGGCTTTTAATGTCCAGTGCGTGTGGTCAATGATTTTTGTATGATTTTTCTGGTTCGATGCATGGTGAAAGGTATTGCACGATGCAGACCCCCAATTCGAATTTCAGGGTCGAAATCTCAGGCCAAGTCGGCCAGTTCAGAAAGGTTACAGTCGGGTACCTTGGAGTCAAGTCCAACAGGCACCCGGTGAACACTCACATCCCAGAGGCAAAGGTTGCGTTCTATAAGCAAAAGTCATGTCTCATATTGAAAAGTCATATCCCACAGGCAAAGGACACTTCTCCAGGCAAAAGTCGTTTGGCAGAGGCAAGAGTCACATCCCACAGTTAAAAGTCATGTCCCACAGGTGAAAAGTCATGACTCACAGACCCAAGCAGCAGCACACCAATGAAAAATCGGGAAATTACCAGACCTTGACATTCTGAAGCAAGCAGGCCGTGAGCATGTGGTACCAGTACCAAGTCAAGCCACCAGAAGCAGAGGTTGGGACGAGTTGAAGAACAGTCCAAGTCAATATAAGGACTGGCCAGCCACATTTTGGACAGATGGCTCATTCGTGAGAAGTGTGGAAGTGCTGCTGAAGCACTTGTGCGCTATCTGCGAGTAGCATGCGCACGAGAGCCCTACTGGGCAGCGCTGCACTGAAAGGGAAGGCGGCCATAGCCGCATAAGCTAGTAGCAGGCATAGAGCTGGGTAGCAGCGGATGTATTCAGAGAGAGAGAGAGAGAGAGAGAGAGAGAGAGAGAGAGAGAGAGAGAGAGAGAGGGAGAGAGGGAGGCAGAGAGAGAAGAGAGTCACTTACTTTGGTTGAGGATGCTGGAATAGGGTCACTGAACTCTGCGCTGATGAGCGCTTGGTGACTGGAACTCTGAACTGCTTAATGTGATAATTTGTTGGGATATCCAAGCTGCGCTTATTCTGGACTCTGCACCTATGGTCTCCAGTGTGGACTTCGTGTGATCTCTCATTGAGTTTGAATGTGTGTGCTCATGGTGACGAGCAGAGAGGCTCAACGCAATGATCGCAGTTTAGTGAAAACAAAGACAAATCCCTCCCTCCCCCCGGAACCAAGGAAAGGACAAATCTTGGCGCCAGAAGGATGAATAAAAGCATTCTCAATGTGACAGCGATTGCCTTTTTTTTCCATCTCGACTCTCTAGATATAAGCAGAGGTGATATGTGTAGCGTCTGCTGGCATCACGACCGGTGGCCCTAACCTATTGGTGGGGAGTGACACCTGCTGGAAAACGGGTCCAGCGTTCCTTCTCTTCTCTATACTCCTAAAGCAAGCAAAGGGCCCAGCGTGACGCGTCCCGCCGGGCCCAGCGAMAATCGGACTGGAGGGTCGCGGGACATGGGCGACGAAATAAAGGCGCGGCGTTTCGCGGTGGCACTGCAGGCCGGACAGAGACCGCGGCGCGAGGGATTTGGCCGTGGCGGTTCGTCGAGGCCCTGGGCAAGGGAAAAAGGGCGGGCCAAGGGGAGAAGGGTGCTGCAGGCCATGGTGCGAAAGCGCGGCGCGTGGGAATTGGCCGTGGCGGTTCGCGGAGGCCCTGGGTAAGGGAAAAAGGGCGGGTCGAGGGGAGGCCTG